CATTAACACATTCTGTACCTGCCACGCGATGAGGTCCTTGAGACGCAGCAGTTTATCTCTGTCCTCTGGGTGCTGCAGAGTGTACTCCTCAGTGAAGAATGCCTGATGTAGAAGAAACATTAAACATTCATTTATGTGCTAACAGCTATAATAATCACTCAGGCAGGTCGGAAAAAGGAGCGCTTTAGTGAGTGCAAAATGAAAATAAGACTGCCAAAAATGATATAAAACACCATTTAACCTGTTTTTATTTATTTATTTATTTATTTATTTATTTATTTATTGCAAGTAAATTCAAAGGTATGAAAATTTAATATATTTTTGCACGGTCTGCAGAAAAGCTGTTTTTGAACTCCCAGAGATAAGATACTAAACTCACTCTGACTCTTGCAGTGGGCTTTTTTCACAACAACTAATTTATTGTCGGTTCACAACAATTAAACAACATGAAATTGAGGTATTAATGTTTAAAAGTCAACAGAACAACGATTGTTAAATATACAAGTCAATTGTATTTACTGTTAGTCTTGTACTTGGACTTATTACTGACAGTTTACCTTTTCATACTTAGCAAAGCCTCCCATGACAGCTGGGTCCACTATCCCATTAAGAAGCATCGAGAGGGGGTTAATGGGAAGGCTCCAGTCAGCCTGGTACTGATTTATCATGGTCAGAATCTTCTCATTGGTGGACTCCATGGTTTCTATAGCGTTCTCTAGTGGAGACAAGACAGTCTGCAGAAGAGAGAAATGGTCAAAGTGAGTGAAAGTGAGGGGTTAAAATGTGGGGGAGTAGAGATGATAACACAGAAACATTTAAATAAAATTAGAAGTGAAAGAAAGTTTTCAAAGAACTGACATGTTTTATGTCTGTAGCCTCAAACCAGCGCAGGATCCCAGGCAGTTTATACACAGTGGTGAAGGTTGTGCGTTCAATCCACATTGACTGAAAGAAAACAGCGCAGGAGAGAGAAAAACTGTTGAGGAATCTCTTTTTGYAAGCGGTCCAGTGTGGTCCAAAAACCAAACATCTGCTGTGTAAAATCTAAACCAAAAAAAATTTATAAAAAAAAAAAATCCAAGAAAATCTTTCACCACATTACTTGAACTGATCAATGCATACTTTCAMCAAAACCTGATATCTCATTCTATCAAGGAGAAACGCATTGTTTCAGACTGTTGCATATAAAAGTGAACCACAGCTACCCTKTGTAGTAACACTGCTTTAAAATGAACTCACAGCAAACTCATTATTTGGGTCCACAGGTTCTTTCCTCACAGGTCGGGAATAATGGAAACGCTGCACATAGTTGGACTTGTAGAAGCTACAGGGTGAGGAAAGAAAGAGGCAGACATATGTAAAATTAAATATAAAACAATAACAAAATAATAACATACAGTAGAATTAGATGTGTAGTAATTCTTTGACAAACATTAGGTTTCATGTTCATTTTGAKTGAGACACTGACTTGATGATCTGGTCAGGGACAGGTTTGTTCTTCAAGCGAGGAGGAATCTCCAGGACTGGCTGCACTGTGAAACACTGGATATCTGGTTTAGATTGCTCAGAAATAATGTTTCTCTGCATCATTATCCCTTTTAAAAGTAAACAAACCGACAGTTCAAACATTTGCTATAATTTGAAAGCAATAAACAAAAAGAAAGATCATTAGAGATTCATTCCATAAAACAACCAATAAGCTTATTTGATGTATTATTTTAAAAAATATTGTATTTTTGTATAAAAGATTGTTTTATTTTTTATCTTGGTCTTATAGGAAAGTAACTTATTTTTTATTTCAAACTTCATTCATTTCTTAAAAAACTAAATTTAATTCTATGAAAAATAAAAAGAAAATACAAATTAAATGAAAGGCGGCAGAGAGAAGAAAATATCTTATAATATCTGCCCCTTTTTCCTCAAGTGTAAATTTAAACAATAATAATCTTCAGTTAAAGCAAAACTAAAACATCAAATCTTTCTAGAACAACAAATTATATGAATACACATTATACTATTTCATATTTTTTCAACAACCCAACCTTTATCATTCTCTTATATGTGTACAGTGATTTGGCACTCTTAACATCATTTTCCAGATCATTCCACAATCCTTGGATTGAGGAGCACCGTTCTTTCAAACTGCTTCTAAATTTATGTTTTATGAACATCTCTGTCCCCTTAAGATTATAACAGCTCTCTCTCTTAATAAAGTTTATTTTGAAATATTTACTTGGCTCAAGACCAAAGCAKACCTGCATTTGTATCTGCAGTGCAGTGTGTTTACAACAGAAGGATAAAGTAGTTTGAGCTTCCTATTGTACAGCATCCGTCTGTATGAAAGGCCTCTGTGGGTTTTATATAAAGAGTGATTTGTTTCTGTACAATAATCCCAGAGGTCCCATGCTTCATAGAAGAGAGATGAGATCCAAAAACAACTCTGTATTTCAAAACTGCAACATGGTCAGACCAGAGAACCCTTGCTGTTATGAATTTTTGTAGCAGTCCTGCAAACGCTTAAGATCCCGCGCTTCGTGTGTTGTTGTGTTTAAAGGATACACTGCAGTGGAGAGTTCTTGATGTCGTCTCCTGGCATGGTTGTGGTGTTGAGGCGCACGGAGCTGGGGTACTGGCTCATTAGCTGGTTCTGGAAGTCCTCTCTGCGCTCGTACTCTTTACCCCGATGAATGAACACCTTGTTCTGCAGCCGGGACAAAATGAATTGATGTTAGCATTGGAGGAAATACTCCAACATACACATGCAACTGAACTGACACAAGAATACAAACCCGGAGAAATGGAGGATAGCCTAGTCCATAGTAGCCCACTGCAAAGTAGTCAGGCTTAGGTCTCAAGATCTTCATAATATTCTCATAGAACTTTGCTTGTTTTTCCTGCAGAGAGAGAGAGAGAGAGAGAGAGAGAGAGAGAGAGAGAGAGAGAGAGAGAGAAAGAGAGAGAAAGAGAGATCAAGGATGTGTCTGGGGCAGAGTTTCAGATGTGCACCTTGCACAGTCAGGGTAGTTTAATCAGCTCACACCAATGACAAAGCTACCATCAGCAGAATGCTTGGCCTGTGAGGGTGATAGATGCTGAAAAAAAAAAAAACAGTGCGCACCATCCAAGGGCAATGTCTGTCATTTATATAACCACATAAATTCAGTATTAACTGAAAGAGTCATCGCTGCGGTCATATAAAAAGAAAAAGGGGATTTTATCTGTTGTTGGGAAAATGTGTTATTCTCTGTGGGGAAGGGAAAAGGTGTGTGGAGCAAGAAGGAGACAGACAAGAAAAAAAAGAAAAGAAAAGAGAGACAAGAAACCACGAGGTGGGACTCAGGGGAATCACTTCTGCACAGGAGTGACTGAGAGGGCAAAAAGAGCAGGTTTAAAAATACAAGTGGTCCGAGGGAGACAAAGACTGACAGTGATTAATCACACATTGTTGGGGTCRTATGGTAATCACTGAAAACAAAAGCAAAGTTCAATGTTTTAGAACAGAATATGAAGCAAGTGGTTGCTTCCATCTGAAGGGGCTGCCACAGCTAGCGTGAAAGGTTTGGCAATTGTTTGACACCAGACGCCCTTCCTGAGGCAACCTGGGCTCAAACCTGCAGCCTCAAGAGCATGGCGCTGGCCACCAATCTACTGCGGCCCCCCCAGGATGTGGCATAAGTATTGTTTGAAAATATGTGATTTAAGAAATCTCTATTTGTTCACAATGACTACACGAGTGTGGAAAAAAGCACAGGGCGAAACAAACAACAAAAATATTTAATCATGAGTGACCAAAAATTCAAAAGTTTCAGATTGTAAAGTATTACCAGTCTTTTGCTAAGTAACTCGTAGTCAAAGATCTCATTTTCATACTGTTCTGCCAGTTCTTTACACAGAGTGATGGCCTCTTCCCACATCTGAAACATGCATAAAAGACAAGAAACAGTTAAAAAATATATATCCTTTAACACAGTGGTTCCCAAATTTGGAATCATGAAGCACCAAGGTGGTATCAGAAAGATCTATGGAAAKCAAATAAACTTTAAAGATAAAGCCAAAAACATGTTTAGTCATAACAGTTGCAAAATATCGAAAGTAACAGTCATAAGTGCATTAAACACTACTTTTAATGACTAATAATATATGTTTGTGTACTTCAGCAACATTCAGTYTGTGCAACTTAATGATTTGCAAGGACACACTTTGCTTATGCATCATGATGATGCGTTTTTTTCAGCTGATCATTTAATTGTGAGCCATGTTTTTGATAATAATATGAAATCACCTTATAAATGTATTTAAATTACTATATAATGTTTCACTATGTGCATGGACTGTACGGTCTCTCCGATAGCAATATTATGCTTCTACGGTTATTAAATGTAATTTGAGTCAGAATTTTTTTTTTTTTGCTGGGTTTTTTAAATATCCACAACCAATCTCAAATATCCACTCCCACCACCCTCCGCCCCATTCGAAGAGAGAGATGGAGTTAGAAGTCAAACGTGTCAATCTACCCTCTAAAATAAGCTTTAACTTCTCACAGTTGTAGTTCTGCTATATTTTCTCTTTAAAAAAATCATTTACACAATTCATGTTTCTAAATAAACATATTTATGAATGCATCAAAAATACATGAACATGATTTTTTCATGCACATATTGCCAGGTCTAAAAAAATAATACATTCAAACCTTGCCCTTGTCGAAGTAATCGATGATGGTGTCATAAAGAGTTTCTTTGAGCTGCCTCTGCGTTTGGGAGCCATGGAACTCAAACTGGGGGCTACACTTGTCATCTGACCACTGAGAGACAGACAGAGGAGAGGGCAGACAGGTAGAGGAGAAGATAAAGACAAAAATGTGATTTGGGTTGGTACAAGTTTGAGGTCAAAACAAACAAAAAAGGAAGTGCAGTCAAGACAACTGAAACTTCTGTCCTTTTAATATTAGAGGCATGTAAAGTGCAAATTAAGATAAATACATTTGTATATAAATTATACTATGCTTCATCAACCATTACCTGATCAAAACAATAACTAACATTGCAAATGGCACTTCTGATACTTTGTTAAAATGAGAAAAAGAGGGAGGAGGAGGAGGCAAGAGATCCTCCTACTCACACTTACCTTTGTGAGCCTGTAAATGCCCCATAAAAACGATCAGGGGACAAAAGAGGTGAAACACGTTCCGACACATCCGTGCACATCCACACGCAAACACACACACACACACACGGTGTGCGAAGCGCACAGCATCAAACACCACAGTGATACGGCTGCGGTAGTCATAAACTAACCTCAGAGCCTCATCATTCGGAGGCCAGAGACACAGCAACCATCAGCCAATAAAAAAACTGGGCTCATTTGTTGGTCGGACAAGTGATTAGGCAGCGGGTGCAGCATAAAACTACAAGACAAATCTTATTGTGTGTGTGTGTGTGTGTGTGTGTGTGTGTGTGTGTGTGTGTGTG